TGATGGTTAAAGGTGGAATTTTTCAGCATTTCACCAAAACGCACTCTGAACCGGCGGGTTTGAGTGTGAACGAACCACATCAAACAGACAAAAGCGAAACCCCACTTTTACCCACAAAACAATACAGAAAGGGCAGTCCGCTGTGGTCAGAGGGAGGTCATGAGACGTAAACCAGTCAATGGCAGGGAAACAATCTAGAGCTTTTCCCCCCGCCCCGATGAATGCTGACTTTTCAATAGGCTTGTTGCCCTTGTGGCTTAGTACTGCATTGACATGATTTTCTCTCTTTTTTTTTTTTTTAAACACAGCAAGAATAAAAAAAGAATCGGCAAAAATCTTTTAGAAAACTCTGCAGCTTTCTGGATTTCAGTGATAACTACTGGTGATAAAATGAAGCCATCTCTCTTTCAGGTTTGCCGGGGAGGTAAAGAGGTGAATAATGAGGACTTTTTTCCAATCCTGGAACTGTGTGCTCATATTTTCTTATTTCAAGAAGCAACTGTATTTTGTCTAAGTTGCTGAGCAACTCTTGACAGGATTTATAAAACAGCTCTGTAACAGAAGCCATATATCGTCTAACTCTTTAGTTTCGGTTTGCACAAGATTTCCTTTCCTTTCATATGTGTAGGAACGAATTCCCGTTACCATGGGCACACTAGAAAATAATTGCTATTTTACAGTCAGATAAAAGGTTTAACAATTAACTGCTGACAGAGTCGTTTTAATACAGGAGTTAAAGCGGCTCTTCCTGAGCCTCCTATATTGGCCTTTTGTTCAGTGACATTCCCAGTGACCTCCAAGTGACCTGAGGGGACAACTGATGCACTTCCCCTTCAGCTGTGGCCAGCTGGCCTAACATCGTCTGATCAGACCTGGCCGGGCAGAGGTCACCACCTGTCCCAGGCCTCTCTCACACATACTAGGTCAACGCTGGTTTAAGAAAACACCAGCCGCAACGTAGTTTGGTCAAACCTGCTGAGCACACAGAAAGTAGAAGGCCCAACTAGCCAGACAGCTTTAGGAGGCTATAAAAGCACATCATCCAATAAAGTATAAAACAAAGTTATAATTGGCCTCCTTATCAGAATGATGAACGTTATTGCGTGCAAACAAGCAAAAGACACAGGTATCATCCAGAAGTGCACTTACTTTATCTAGCGACCTCTTGAGCTTGTAGTGGAACTTCTCTTTGACCTCGTCCAGGAGCTGCTTGAGCTTTGGCTCCTCAGGCGTGCCTTGGTACTTCCTGGCAAGCTGCAGGTAGCAGGGCCACTTGGCTGAGTCAAAGCCCCAGTGGCAGGTCCTCTTATCAGGTGACTTGTGTGAATGCATGACAAACTTCTGTGGTGAAAAGAGCAACTGGCACTCAACGCACTGGATGCAGGGCGCCTCTGGCTGGGTGTAGAACTGGGGCACAAAGAGACCCTGGCACTTCCCCAGACACTGGTGCTCCACCTGGAAGCTGGCTTCGCTCTCCTTCAGCAGGCCCTGGGTCGACAGCTTACCGCTGGGGTCGGCGGGCAGGGCCGCCCCGGGACGCAGGAGAGCGTTGCACAACCGCTGTGCATCCGTCAGTGTAATGAGGCCACAGGAAGGTGCGTTGAACGGCAGAATGCCCAGCACCTTGAGGATGTGCAGCTGCTCGGCGTCGCAGCGTGAGCAGTAGACGTAGAGCTCGTCGCACACAGTGTTGATCTGCTGCAGGGAGAAGTCGCGGAGCACAGAGTTGAGCACCTGGGGCAGGCAAAGCCGCTTCTCCCCCCCGACGACAAAGCAGGAGATAGACTCTCCTTCCAGCAGTGAGTGGGTGAGTTCGGTGGAGCTGTCACAGGGAACCAGCAGAGGGCCCCCTCCAAGAACAGGAGGGGAGGGCAGGGGGGGCATGCCAGCCGGGGAATGCTCGTGGCCGGTGCGGGCTGAGAAGGCAGCTGGGCCCCCGAGGGAGCTCTGGCTGCTGAGGGTGAACTGGGCCAGCGTGTGTTTGAGCCCAGGGCTCAGGTCCAGGGCTTTAGCAGAGCCCACAATGTGCAGTTCGGCCCGACCCTCCACATCCATGTCAGACTCGTGGCACAGGTCCTCGATCTGCTCCCTCTTCACTCTGGGAGTTTTGGGGAAGGAATCCAAACTGCGACGCTTCAGGTTGATCTCCGCGATCACCCGCTTCTTGATGGGAGCGTCTTCCAGTCGCTCCCTGTACAGCCGCTTCATGTTGCCCTTGAATGAGGTCAAGTCTTTGAAAGGGGTTTTCAAACTGGTCTGGGTGCTGGCCATGTCTAAGCACTGGGTTATTGTCGTTTCTGTCTGCTGACTGAGTTCTTGTATTCCCTCTGAGTCTTTTTTCTTTCTCCTCCTCCTTAAGTCTTTTCAAATGACACGAATCTTCTGGTAGTTAGACACATGCATGGTGATGAGTGAAGTTTTCTATGTTCTGATCCGCTTCCTGGGGCATAAAGAAACAGGAATTTAGAAAAACAGACAATAAATAGTCGTCATCTGATTTATTTCATGTAAAAAGGAATAAACAAACTGAAGATTATCTCCTAAAAATATGTTGTGGAGCTTGAAATATCCACAAGGAGATTAAATGTTTTATAGCTGCTGTCCCAACTGAGGAGGAGGAGGGGGGGGGGGTCCCAT